TATTCAGTCACATTCTGTGTAGCCGCAATAGGAAATCATAACGACTAAAAATGGTTTTATAAATTAACTATTGAAACTATTCAACAAATTCCTAGAAAAACCTCATAAACCTAGAAAAATCCGCCATATTGCGCCCGGACAAAGATATTTTTCACTAACAATTATCTCCGAAATAATATACAACAGCGCGCATTTACCTAAGATGTAAATTCGATTCAATTCTCATGCCAGATAACAACAAAATCAAACACGTATTTCCATCCATCTCTGTTCAAACTATAATAGCGAATCAGATACCACCGACAAGAGGCAATCGAGCAGATACTTTAAAGCTCCAAGACCATTATTGAAATCCGGAATAAAAACAACCCATTGCTAACGAGGCAGCATATGAGATCTAGAAGCCGGAGGTGCTGCAATGTCAGTTGGAAAGGGTTAAAATGAACCGGGCATATTATAAGCCAGGCGAATGAACACAAATTTAGAGCCTACTTAATAATGGTTCCGCACGAATTAACATGTTTTATTAGTCTGATTTTCCCTCCAGATTTTAAATCAAAAGTATATTGTTCTAACGGTTCCGCGCTGGGGACGTTCAATTACATTACGTTCCGGCAATGTGAATTTCTGAATAATGTATATGGCTGCTAAAAGCACTAAGATTTGAATGAGTGATGGTAGATGTAGTGGAAGTGCTATAATAGCAAATAGTTTAGGTTTATATATCCCATATAGTTTTATTTTTTTACTAAGTCGCTTCTTCTAATATAAAAAAAAACATCATAAAATACATTATTATATTATAACAATTTGATACGATTGACAAATTTTTATTCTGGTCAGAAACCCTAATTTTAAAAATTGGATATTTTTAATTTAAAATTTATCTAAAGCGGGAACGCTAATATAACGTACGCCAATACAGTATTTTCACAATTACTCATACGAAAGAAATATTAATTATTCACAAATTATGAATGTGGGGGGGGGCATACAAATGCTGATACAAAAAATCAAAAGGCCCATCTCTATAAGTTGTGAAATAAACTTGCAAAATCTTAAGCAAATTCAAAGCATGTGTACAGGAAATGAAATGACTCTTGGGACACATTTACTGCGGTAAAGACTATATAACGAAGTAGACATCCTCGCTTGTTCTTTGCTGTCCTATATTATTTAATCCCGTCAAATTTATGTATTTGGCATCAAGGCGGACTATTGTTATGAATAGATGTTTTAAACACAACATAACGTGTATATGTGAGGATAAGCGCGATAAAACGACACCGATGTAATTTCACAACGAATAAAAAAGTAGCCAAATTTTGCGACTCTTTACTCCCACCTAACGAATTTGGATTTGCCATCCGATCCTGTCGTGGTTTTTAATCGAAATATTTCATTCTAACGTTTTCTTGAAGTTCATAAATATTTCCTGAATAAAATAAAAGATATAGACAATTTTGTTAACGTTTCTATTGCAACATTATCATTATCACCACGGAGACTGATTAACAAGAAAAAAACCATTGTTCGAAAACACAGTAAAAGGCAGAATTCTCAGCTATTTTTGTGTGTATTTGGACAACCCTATAAATTGCTAGAATAGACAGTTGTGGACGCATAAAAAACGCAAAAATACAGTAAATTGTGTGTGTTTATTGCGGGCTAGATAGGCTAGCATAGCTCGACAAGAACGCGAGAGACTGACAGACTAAATTATTCATCCCGCTGGACTATGACTCATTCTTCAATTATCTCTTTGTCTGGGCCTGTAATATGTTGTCGTGCCTTATTCACTATATCATACAGAAGTGATGGAAATATAGTTTCAATATGATTGGTTAAAATATAAAAACCAACCAGTCAGAATTGTTAATTAAGACAATCATAATACTATATACAGTATACATATAACTGTAAAATCATACAGCAATCAAACAGTTTTAGACATTTACGTAATACCCTTCATTTTACAGTGTAAATAATTTACACTATGCCCTGATGGTGGTTGAATTTTACATATTATGTGAATTAAAATGTTTATTGATATACCTATTTTTTATTAATATGACCCCTCAGGCAAGATGTTGAGAGTGCAGTTTTAACCAGAGATCATTGGCCTGTGAACCACTAATATAGCCACCAGCATAGTAATGATAAAATTGCTACCCATTAACCCATCTCTAAATAATAATATATCTCATTGAAATGCAATATAGGAACTCTGTGTATTCTGTATATTCAGTAGATATGGAGGTTTACATTTTTTATGGAGTGTTTTCACAACATGAATTAGACAGTGAACAAGCAACCACTGATATGTAAAGAGTTACTATTGTCAGAAAGACTGAAATCTTTCTGGTTCCGCATCATCATCCTGGATATAATGATAAAATGGTATATGAATTTGATATATTTAACCTATGACGACGAAATCAATAGAACATGCATTCATATCTCGTGAACCCCTTTAGGAGGCTTTTAGCACTCATGGCCCCCTATTTATCATTCCAGTAGTATTTATAGTGTTACATTGATTGGTAGATTCAGAATCCCATTATGTTTAAACAATTCATGATCAACAAAAGAAAAACACCCTGTGTAATAACTAATAACCTTATCAATAATGAACTAGGAAGAAGAGGGAGTTTTCTAGTAAAAGAAAAAATAAAATCAGTTTTGCGCCTGACATGGTGGCCCCCCTTCAACTGCTCTGTGGTCCCTTTGGTGGGCCACAGGCCTCTGGTTGGGAACCACTGTACTAAGCCTTACATTTATATCCATTGACATAATACAGGTGCTGCCTAGTTTCAATGAAAATAATGATGATAGTTGATCACTGTTTGAACACTAGCACAAAGGGTTTTGGCCTTTTGGTCATATCACATCATCAACCAGTTCTAAACCAGATGCATTATATAACACTGGTATAACATATTTAACTTTAAATTTTATGAACAGTATTTATAGTGGCCATTCGCGAATGGTGGAATTCATGACTGTTGCACTGTTACAGACTAAACACAAAAACATGCATGAATATTTTATATTGTCTATATCTGAGCCCAAGTACTGAGAATAGCAAACGAAAATGACAAAAATATATACATATTTGTCATGACAATAAATGGAAGTTTCTTCGGGAGACTAACATTTTTACACAAAACAAAACAAAAAAACAGAATGCATTTATAAATTCTGATCATATATTTAAAAAAAATAAAATACCTGATCTGAGCCAAGGTCATGGTGACAACTAGACTACAAAGTCTTACTGACAGTGAGTTACAGTAATGAAGAAATGAATAGTGTGCATTATACTTCTATAGGGGGGGTGGGGTTATTTGAGTAGTTTTTGACATTTGAACCGGTGTAAAATCTGAGTGAAGTCGATTCTCCGTGAAATTATGGTTTCATTGTAACATTCTGACTCTGTACTTCCTTGCATAACAGTTTGAGTCTTATTTAATGTATTCAAGTCACCTAAAAATGCAAATTTTTTTTGGAGGTCGGTATACTCAATTTACCTCATTTTTCGAGGATAATTGAGTATACTGACATCTACCAGTTAAATCAAATCTAAGAAACCCTTAGAACCAAATCAAACCCCTTCATGAGAAACTTGGGTACATATAGTTTATTTAAAAAAAATAGTAATTACAAAAACCTTGGAACATAATTATCTGACATCACTTTAAACTTGGTATGATAGATTGTAATTATGGTTTCCATGAACTTTTTACCACAAATAGGCTTTTAGTTTAAATACAAGTTCATTATGGACTAGAATTGGATGGTTTGACTTGTTTCAACCAGCCAGACAAGGTCTTGATTTCATTAATGTCAGAATATGCTACTTAGAGTTAGTCCTCTGTTATAATCAGCTGTACTATGTGAGAATTCTGCTTCATATTCTGTCTCGTAGTCAATAAAGCCGAATCTAATTCTGACTCTGTTAGCTGCTTTTCTGAACTATTATTATGATCTTTCTATTTGCTGTTTTTCTTTTTTCTACCAATCATATCCGTTTTAAGTCTATCCTATCAGTATAATGGTATACACTTTCAATTGACGTTATATAGTTTTCGCCTGAATAGATTTTCTGGGACGGCGTTTTTTTTATTATTACTGCATGTTTTCGGAGATGACAGTGAATGTGATTACGTCAACTAAAGCCTTTGTAAATGCACTAAGCTCACTGGTGGAGTAGGACTCTGTGCTTGGCTTGTCCACAGCTTTCTTTTTTACTATTTTTTTAGTTACAAGAAAAAAACTGATTTCTCAAAATCCTACAATCGCCCTCTGTGAATTTACACTCATATCCATTAAAAATAGAAGCCTATATTGAAAGATGGACATGATAAAGGCTACAAAAAAGTGTTAGGGCTCAAAATAGTCACACAGAACCTCATATTCCTGTATTATAGCAGTGGGAGAGGCCATTTATGCATATACCCGATTTACCCCACGGTAAATTTCCGACACTCAATTTACCATGATTTTTTCAAACATCAATGAAACAAAAAGTCAATGAGTTACACAAAAATTATCTACAGGGGCAAAGAGAGTCTTTACTAGGGTACTAAAAGGCATCACAAAAAGTTTAAAATATACTATCAGAAAAGTGTCACGTGAAAGTTTCCAAAACAATTTTTTTCATAAACAAAAAAAATTTCACATACAAACATTTAAAACAATTTTATCATTGGTAGGTGAGTGAGTTATACACAATGAAATGGAAGCATAGGATATGAACTATTGTTGCTACAAAGTACAAACCATTCACTCAACATACAAAAAAGTTAGCGAGGTTTTTATACATTGTCCTCAATTAACCCCTATATGCTCAATATACCCCCCCCCCCACCCCCCTACATAACTAAGGGAAACCACTGTCTGAAATCTTATTATAGAGCTGATAGAAATAAATTTGAATCATTCGTATTGCATGTTCAAAACTGCTTTTTGATAGAAGCTCGCAATATGAAATGGCATACCTGATGAATACTTCGGGCGAGAAGAAGCACGATCTTTTGCTTTGGTCAAGTCTTCTTGACTCTGAGTTTTGGCTAAAACGATATATTGATAATTGATAACTTAAAGAAACACAATATTTCGAAAATATTTCATAAATATTGAATATCTGATTTTGCATCAAAATTTTTGAAGTATTCAATTGCTTCTGTCATAGTAAACACTTCCACATTTATATTCAATCAGATACTACTGTAGTTTTAACACATGCTCAATACTACAGAATATCTCGGGCATACTTATCACAGAAACTTCAAAGTTGAAATTAATTTATATAGATATATATAAGACTAAACACTTATTCATGGACAAAGAGAATGAAATTCACAGCCTGATGAATTAATATTAATTTTAAAAATTTTATAATTTAGATAAATATGATAACATAGACTTTAAGCTTAGGCTTTTTAAATACACATATATGCAAGTGGAGAACTACCAATATTGACTGACAGTTGATGATAACACTTGAAAGTGAAATCACAAGCAGGCAGGCAATGATAATATTCCGGGTCTAGTATAGTTTAGTACCACAAGTACTTCCAGTGGGCGTAGCATAACGAATTTTGCATATGTTATTCTTAACCCCCACCTGACTATTCAAAAATTTACCATCACGTCATATGACTCGCCAAAGTATAATTACGATCGCCCGAAATGGCATCTGCGCCGCCGATAACGAACTCGCTAAAGCCGATGATCTATTTCCTATCGTGATCGTTGTGACAATAAAACGAGAGAAATAGCTTGCTCGATTTCGGGTGATCGTTTGCGCATACTTTGGTGGGCCTTATTACGCCAATGTGACATCGAAATCAGGTGGGGGTTAGGATTGACATGTGCAAAAATTGTTGAGCCAGGCCAACTAGAAGTGCATGTGGTACTGAACTATACCAGACCCCATATTCCTTCATGAGATGATATGTAAATAGTTTTTAAAAAATAAAATATAAGAATCAAATTAGCATTGTGATAAGAAGTTTCCAGTCGCAATAAGTCATAAATTATGATTCAAAATATTTTTTGTTTTATGCTCTGCATGTATGTAACCCTAGTGTAACAATGCATCAATAGAAAGTCTTACACTAAGTGACCCTCTCAGAATCCCCCCAGAAAGTTCAAGGTTAAATAATTCCTCCATTTCGAACCAAATTGATATGGCTACTAGAAAATAGGATTATATGAATAAAAATGTATGTATAAGGATACACTCCAATGAATAGCAGAAATGAACACAAACTGAAAGGAGATTACCCAAGGACAGTGTAACAACAGAACAAGGACATAATCTACAACCTGACAACAGATATAATACATTACAATTCACAAAGGACATAAAAAAAATCTGCGCATACATCCAGATATCTGTATATTTCAACAATTTCATAAGAATCCTTGCCATATTCTGATATTCGTTAAATTAAATGGTACCTATTTTACCTACTGAACTACCACAAAAACAGACAACACATAAGATAGAGTCTGTCAGCCTTGGAGTAGTTTTAAGTTAGCTACAATCAGCCAATACAGCGATAGACTAGTACTGTAGTAAGCAAGTCTTGAAGAAGGAAAGCTGCATTTATACAATACAATGTTATAACTATGGAAACAATGTCTGAAATACATTTGCAACACATAAGCAACTGACAAAAGCTGCACAATAAATGCAAAATAAAATGAAAATAAGATTTGTTTATGGACTCACATTTGGATTGGTACAGTGAAGAGGATTGGCTGTTTGTTCCGTTGCCCATGGCACGCATTGGAACTTTTGTACCCGTAGTTTTACTCGTTGAAGACGATCCATTTGATCCGACAGATTTTCCCGTCTTCCTAGTAGAACTCATATCGACGAAAAACTATAAAACTGTAAAACCCCACTAAAGCGTCAGATACTACTACAGTACTACGATGAATATCTGAATATATCCGCACCGACTTGAACGAACGACAATAGAAATACGAGTTTACTCTGAAATGGGTCTTCGCGGTAAAAATGCGTCTGCCTGGAAATTAGTACGCGCAACATTGGAGACGGAAAATTTGTTACAAATCTTGCAAATTTTTCAAAATTTTCCATTAAAAAATGTAATGTAAATAACCCCAAGGTTGTCTTTAATATATCAAAATTTCCAATTAGCAAAATGTTGATAAACATTTCTATTTTGCGTATGCGCATTATCAACATGAGCAAAGCCCATCCACTAGCATTAAAGAAGTTTATGGATAAAAGATTGGATTTAAAGTTGAATGGTGGACGATTTGTTACGGGTATATTGCGAGGTTTCGATCTTTTTATGAATCTAGTCGTGTATGATGGAACAGAGCGTAGAAAAGATGGGATCACTGCACCTGTTGGAATGGCTGAATGGTGGTCGTGCGTGGAAATTCGATATTAATGTTGGAAGCATTGGAACGAATACAATGATTTTAAAGTGAACCGACCGAAAACGATAAAAGAACCCAATACCCTAATCCATGATTTGTGCATAGACTGCTATGGAACATCCAATCTATTTACCAAGCCTGTTTTTTAGTAAAAAAAATTTGTCACTGTGTTATTTTTTTGCAATATAATTGAAGTAGGCCCACAACATCACCATTTTTCGTCAGCGAGTGTTTTAATCCATATATCTGTATAGGAAAAGCATACACGTCTCACATTTTAATTTGAATTTATAAGTTGTTGCCCGATGTTACATCGTGTTTTTGTTTTATTCTGTTTTTGGGGGACGGGCACGTACTTGTACGTATTTAACTTATTTATTAAGTTATGCCCGTCCTCCAGGTCCTCTGTATTTTGTTTTCCCCTTTGTTGTTGTTTTGTGTTTTGTTTGTATCAGAGTGACCGAATAAAATTGATTGATTGATTGATTGATTGATTTTACCGCGTAGAACCTTATTGGACACGAAATGTACATTGGATTGTTTTAAGTCAGGGGTTTTCAACCTTTTTTCTGTTAAGTAACCCTCGAGTCACGAAACAATCAACGCGAACCCCCAATATTTAGACACCCAACAAAGTTGTGATATATTGACTGACGATTTGCTGCAACGACAATTTACTCGACTGCCATCCAAGTAGGCTACCCCTGGAAATCGTCTCGTGAACCCCAGGTTGAAAACCCCTGTTTTAAGTGATTCAAGAGTCTTGCTGCACACTAACACAAATATATTTCTGTAACGTTTCGTCTGAGCAAGGTCAGACTTCTTCAGACATACATAGTTCAACTACCATGAAGAAGTCTGACCTTGGTCAGACGAAACGTTACAGAAATATATTTGTGTTAGTGTGCAGCAAGACTCTTGAACCACTCATGATAGTTATCTTTATTCTTGCTACAGCATCCTTGCATTATATGCATACGGATCCGCTGGCACAAAAGAATAGAAGAAGAATAACTAATTGGTCTCACAGAAACCAAATCATTGTATTGTTTTGTTGTTATTATTATTCTTTTTTACAGTCCTGTGACTGGGGTATATTTGTTGAAATCGATACAGGTCCCGGCCCCTTCTCAGTATTCTTGCCATTCCCAAAATAGCCGCATTTCCTAAAGATCAATATTGAGGTCTGTGTCGTTCTGACTGACCAATTTGAAGTGTTTATTAATTAAACAAACGTCTTATAAAATTTCTATGATGCCCCATTTCCCATGGTGAACTAAGCACGTGCTTAATGGTTAATTTAGTACTGATTCAGACACAAGGTTTTCTAAGTGGATAGCGGAAGAATGAACAAGATAACAGGTACGATGCAATTAGGCTGGCGAGCGCTGCGTATTGGATTTGGTTGTTGGATGAGCAACTATGAACAGGATTTTTGAAGCCTGGATTGCATTCGGATGCAGTTTTCAGTATGGTAGAATACAGTCTCTCCACGTGGATTACTAAAAAAAGTATGTCGCAGATTTACAATGAGTTGGGACTTGGCCATATAAGATGTTGCAACAGCTGTTCCTTCGCGAACGAAGTTAACTGCCTTAAAACAATAAATTGGAATACGAAACATTGTACATAACTTTGGAGTACAAACAACCCGATTTCACGATCAAAATTTACTAAATGTAAAACACAGCACGACTCCAGCGATTTGAACCTCCCGTTTACTTGTGCAATTGCTAATGCATAGAAGAACCTACGTATAACTTGTGAATATGTCAGTAAAAGATTGTTCAATGCATTCGAACTGGATTATTGATGGGTTTTGTTATTATTATGTTGTTGTTAGCTCCTGACCAATTTTACACTGTTATTAAAAAGTCGGAATTGTTTGCCACAATATATATAAATATAACCACCTCTAATTACTCTGCGTGGGTTCGCAGGTTCGAATCCCATGCAGGGATGGTTATGTGCGAGAGGATTGCTGGACTCCTCGCCGTCGTTGGGTGGTTCACGTAACCGCTGGTCGGCTACGGCTTCCTCCACCACCAAGTCCATGCTTTCGAAAAACATACAATATATCTAATCCCATACCCGACTTGGAATGGTAACCGGACGAGAGGCCGTGGTTCGCCATATGGATAAGCCCGAAGCCGTCTTATCGGCTTTCCTCTCCCCCGGGATAAATATGTAAATCCTATCCTATCCTATAAAAACTCAACTCAATTTTTATGCAAAATGCACAACTTTTAAGCAATAATATACATTGGCATAAAATATCCTTGATAAAAAATTTAAAGTCTGCAATGTTTCCTTCTAACTCGTGCTAAACTTGTACTTAAATTTCATTAGCTCAACTGTTCGATATCAACGGGCAGTTTTGATACCGCATTGCGTGTTTCACAATTGTTTCACAATTTGATATGGTATGAATTCTTCGTGACACGGTTTTATGCGAAAGACTGAGTTGACAGAAGTCTGTCATCTTCTTCGGCGCAATTTTCTCCGCAGCAATATGCAAGCATTGTTTTATATATTCACCATCCGTAAGAGGTTCCATTTTTGATATTCCCGATTTTCAGCCTCAAGCTTCCCATTTTTCTGTTCCACACATACCGGTAATTTTGTTTTTGTGGTTCAACGTAGTAGTATATATTTACGGTATAAAGCATAAACAAACAATAAGAATAGCCAAGACACAATAATGAAAAAAACTTGCACCGTGGTGATTTAAGATTATTGTTGTCGCTAGCGGATTTGCCCATGATTCATATAAAGTTCAATTTTATTTGGCCTTGCATTTTTTTACTATTATTTTTAATTTTCACTATGGCAACACGAAATCTATTCACAGAGATATTTCCAGTTCAATGAATCTATTTTACCGGACGTGATGGCTATGTCAGGTTGCCAAAATTTAGTTAAGTAAAATAAAATAACTTGTTTGAGATTTTGCTTTCCGAGCTGTGTTGTTTTGTATCTATTTTCAAATATTAATTTTAATAGGGGTTAAGATTAGTTATGAGTATTTCCGAGTCTCATGTGGTTAGGTAAATCAAAATGATTATCACGGACAAATAAACCAGTTGTACGCGCCAACTTGCGAAAACACTCTGACATCTGTGGTCGGCAAGGATTTATCCACTACTGTATTATTGTTCTTTCGGCAGTTATGGCGTTAGAAAACAGACTGTTCTTCGTGCTTTGGGTGTGACTGGGGGGTGGTGCTGCGGCGGTCTCTCGTAACTGCGTTAGGAACGTCATTCGAGGATCCCATCGCGTCTGGAGGGCCTGGTGCAGACTTAATGACAGTGTCGGCTAATCTTATTGCATCCTCTTTTCTGACACTATTTTATTATCTTCTCCCTTTGTTTTGTAGTTGTGTGATTGCGAGCTTGCGTGTGTGTTTCGTCGTTTCATTAACCCTTTTGATTCCCACTAGTAGTTACTCGAGGTAGTTTGAGCCCTTGAGCCATTTACTCGGATTATCTTGTTTGTATTGCACCTTTTCCCCACCACTTGCCTCCACAAACCCACGCTCGGCGATGGGCTTTGGCCAACTTATATGCCATATATATATATATTAGTGTATACCGCTTGCCTTAGTTATCCCAATTTTAATTTGCAGTTATTGCGCACTTTTCCACGGTTTATTGGTTCGTTAGTTTCCTTCTTTTTTATCTGATAATTTTTCAAACTTTTTCATATTACTTATTCAGAATTTCACCTCGGTTGATAGGAAAAGGCGAGCGGTAATTATAATCCAGTTAGATTTTTCCATGTTTAGAACCCATCGCCGAGTTTGCCAGCCCCTCGCCACTACTTTATAGTTGTTATTTTTGCTTACGATTTTCTTTCCTATATTCTTTGAGGGGGGCTGGCTCAGTTAGATAAGCCGTACTCATTCTTTATATTGACTTGTTATTCTTTACATGTTCAATTTAATTTTTGTTAAGGTTAAATTCTTATTTGTATTTATGTATAAATACCGTTTTTGCCCCCCTGCGCGGGGGAGGCCAGGGTTACTGGCAAATATAGGACCTTTCCCCGACATCAAAACATCCGTATTCTCAAACAATCACAAGCGAGCAGATGTAAACAAACATTCTCCGCTGAAAAGTCGCTCAGACAACTTTGGACGCGTTCCGCACAGGTTGCTGGCGGTTTAGGCAGATATTTGTCTTTTTTTTCGCTTTTTATTTTCTTCACAGGGCTACGAGAGTTAGAAAGCTGTAATACTGTATGTTACTTTTTGCAAACCACGTTCACGAAATCTAATCATTTATATTAAAAGGCTGTACCCGTTGCAGGCATCTCACAGGTACGGTAACGGTACCGTACAGGTCAACCAATTGCTATTTCGAACCAAAAAATAGTAGACAGTTATTCTGATGCAATCAAGGGTACTGGTACCGGTAGCCTACCGTATGTCAGTACGGAAGAATTCGCCTTCGATGTTGCATTTTTATTAAACAGAATCTAGCCTATTAGTGAATTATTTTGGTTGACTAACTATGTGTAAACGCTTCGCATATGGTATTTGCCGGTCTGGCAATCTGTA